GGGCACAAGGGGTGAAGGGAGTCATATATGTGGTGATGGACAAACAAAAATGTACAACCCAAAATTTCACAATGTTAGAAACCATTAAAACATCAATAAAAAAAATGATGGAGCTACAGCTGAAGGGCAAACTTTGGCAATAGGGGAATCTTAGGGATTCTGGAGAAATGGAAGCAAGGAGAAATACAGAGAGGAAAAGAGAGGATGGCAGTCAAGGCACCTCCAAACCCTCCTCCACCTCCTGTGTAGATGCCCACATTGGGATCCTCTGTATCCAGGTGAATGAAGAAATGGGTCAGGGCAGATCCAGGTAGGGGAAAGGCTGGACAGAATTTGGGGAGATGAGAGGTTGCATCAGGCCCTCACCCTTACTTTTTTCCCAGAAGCCCCTCTGATGCACGAATTATTTCTCAGTTGAGGACCATAAATATTTATCACCCAGGGGAAATAATGTTTCATGATCATAGCTGTCTTTCATCACCAGGCATATCCTAGTGCCTCTTTACAGCATCACATCTCAAAGAGGAAGCATCTGCTCAAAGCATCCAGGTAGAAGGTCCAGAAGGCCCCATCAGTTCTTGGGGGCATGACAGAGTGAGGGGTGGACAGGGGACCAACCTACCAGAGGAATGATCCTACCTCAGTAGACGAGGAAAGACACTGGCTCACCCTTCTCTGTCTTTTTTCCTAGAAATTCCTACAAGTACTTGTCCAGCACACATAGAAAGAAGCACCACAAAAGGTGAACAAGGAGATCTCTTAATTCATATATATGGAACAACAAAAGACCCCAAATAGCCAAAGAAATACTGAGAAAAAAGAACAAAGCCGGAGGCATCACAATCCTTGACTTCAAAATATACTACAAAGCTATAGTAATCAAAATGGTATGGTAGCGGCACAAAAACAGACACACAGATCAATGGAACAGAAAGGAAGCCCAGAAGTAAAACCACACATCTATGGACAGTTAATCATTGACAAAGGAGCCAAGAACACACAATGGAGAAAGGAAAGTCTCTTCAATAAATGGTGTTGGGAAAACTGGACAGCCACATGCAAAAGAATGATGTAAGACCATTGTCTTACACCATGCACAAAAATGAACTCAAAGTGAATAAAGACTTGCATGTAAGACCTGAAACCATAAAACTCCTAGAAGAAAATATAGGCAGTACACTCTCTGACATTGGTCTTGGCGGGGCTTTTTTCGAATACCACGTCTACTTGGGCAAGGGAAACAAAAGAAAAGTAAAAAAATGGGACTACATCAGACTAAAAAGCTTCTGCAAGGCAAAGGAAACCATAAATAAAATGAAAAGACTACCCACCAACTGGGAGAAAATATTTCTAAATCTTATATCTGGCAAGGGGTTAATTTCCAAAATATATAAAGAACTCATACAATGCAACAACAAAACAAACAAACAACCCGATCAAAAAATGGGCAGAGGATATGAACAGACATTTTTCCTAAGAAAATAAACAGATGACCAATAGGCATATGAAAAGAGTTCAACATCACTAATTATTGGCACAGCCATATGAAAAGATGTTAACACTACTAATTTTTAGGGAAATGCAAATCAAAACTACAATAGATTTCACCTACACCCATCAGAAGGGTTAGAATTAACAAGACAAAAATAACAAATGTTGGAGAGGATGTGGAGCAAAGGGAACCCTCATACACTGCTGGTGGGAATGCAAACTGGTGTAGCCACTGTGGAAAACAGTATGGAGATTTCTCAAAAAATTAAAAATAGAAATAACATATGATCCAGCAATCCCACTACTGGGTATTTACACAAAGAACATGAAATCAGCAGTGCAAAGAGATTTATGCATCCCTACGTTCACTGCAGCATTACTCACAATAGCCAAGATGTGTAAGCAAACCAAGTGCCCTTCAATGGATGAATGGATAAGGAAGATGTGGTGTATGTATATATACACAGTGGAATACTACTCAGATAAAAAAGACAAAATTGTGCTATTTGCAACAACATGGATGGACCTTGAGGGCATTATGCTAAGTAAAGTAAGCCAGGCAGAGAAAGACAAACACCTTAGGATTTCACTCACATGCGGAAGTTAAACAAACACATGGATAAGGACAACATATTACTGGTTACCAGAGGGAGATGGGGAGGGGGAGGGGGAGAGGAAAAGTGGTAAAGGGGCGCATATGCGTGGTGATGGATAAAAATTTGACTGTTGGTGGCGAACACGATGCAGTCTATATAGAAATTGAAACATAATAATGTATACCTGAAATTATACAATGTTATAAACCGATATGACCACAACAAAATTTTTTTAAGTTTTCTGCCTGGGGAAGGAAGGGGCACTGAGGAGGTGGAAATGACTCAAAGGTTTTGAAGGAGGGTGATGAAGAAAAAGATAGTGCTGACTTATAGACACAAGGAAGTCAGTGAATGAAAGTGTTTTTGGGGAAGAAAATCCACAATCCCAGATCAGGAGGGAGGGCCGTGCTTTCTTCTGAGAAATGATGATCAGTCTTCTAAGCATCTCCCCAGCCTCCTTCTCCCCAGGGTCCTCCTCCCTGTGATGGCCCCACTGGCTCCTCCAGGCACCAAGGCAGAGAGTGGAACAGCCTTGAGTTCTTCACTCTTGCACTTCACAGCCAATCATCAAATCCCAACCACCACGCCCCCTGAGTCCCTCTTAACAATATCCCTGACCCATTGCAAGATCAGGGCATCTCATCTGTGTCATCACATCAGCCTCCTTCCTGGTCCTCCAATCCAGGACCCTCTCCTTCTTCCAGTTCATGCCTCTCACCATCTCCAAAGGACTCTTCTAATAACCCTATCTGGTCTGATGCTGTCCTGCTCACAACTCTTCAAAAAGGTTCCATCTTCAAAACACATCCAAAATGCACTATCTGATGTTCAGGGCTGTGAACGATCAGGCCTGAGCTAAAGTCACAGCCACAGCAAACACAACTCTCCTCCTCCACCAAACTCATCACAGTTAAGGACACACACCCCAAACACACCCAGAAACTGAGCTACTTAACAATTCTGCGCCTTCCTCGGGCTCCTCCCTCAGCCAGTCTGATCCTAGCCAACTCCTTTCCAACCTGAGGGACCACAAAGCCATCCTGTCTCATTCCACTCAACTGTAATTGTATTTTGTGTTATAGGTTTGTGCAAGGGTTATTCAAGAAAACCACATAAAAGACTTAAAATACTGATCAACAAACCACCCCAGGGCCAGAGTAATGTTGGAGTTTTATTATTAATAGAGTTAATTATCAATAGAGGCTTCCTGCATTACATTCTCTACATAGTGGTAGTCTTTTTAAAACAGAAATCTGTTCATACTATCTGTTGTTTAACATCTTCCCATTGCCTTCAAGATAAAATCCGAAATACTTGCATGGTGCTCAGGATCCTGTGTGACAGGCCCAGCCTTATCCTGATGGCTCTCAATTCTGAGAACAGCTCAGATCTTTCCGGGCAAGGATGCCCCCTTGCCATCAACTCTGGGCTGACCCCTGTTCATGTCTTAGGTCACTCTTTCACCAGAAGGACCCCTGACAACCAGGACACAGGTTGCAGGATGTCTACCTGTTATTGAATCTCATTGTCTCCTGTTTTCATGTTTCTTTCACCTTGTGTTAAAACAAGACTATAACTGAATTGTTTGCCACCTGAATATTTGTAATGTCTTGTCTTCATTCATCTGAGCCCCATGAGTACAGGGAAAGATCTGTCAGCTTCAGCAATGACTCTCCAGCTCCTGGCACCAACACTGGACATTGTAACTGCTCAATAAATATTGACTGACTGCCCAGCTGATGAAATAAAGGAAGAAAATTTGCATTTACAGAAGCTCAACAAAGGGAAGTGATTTGCCCAAGCTCACAAAGCCTCTATAAGAGGCAGAGTCAGAGTTGGAACAGAAAATGTGCTGGTCCTCCTCTGCCCTCTCCAAGACTCATGTTCTGGGACAAGTGTCGCTCTCTGGATTTGGGTTTGGCATGAGGTGGAGGCAGAGTGTGTGGGTGTGCAGAGACTTGGCTCTGGTCTGGAGGGTCCCCACAACCTGCTGTCTCCTTGTCTCCATACTTTAGGGAGTGCAGAGCGATGCCCTGAGAGGGCTGTTCCCCTTCCTGTGAGGCAACAGATGAGGAACCCACGATGTGTCACACGGAGACTGGTCCTTGTCACACTCCATGCTTCTGTCTGTCCTGTCTGGCTCTGTGGTATTTATCAGTCGTCTGCTCCACTGGAGACCATGGGAGGCAGAGCCAGGACACCTACCCTCACTGCCCTTGTCTGCCTCGGTGAGTTTTGGGGAAAAGAGGAGGCATAGTATCTCCTCTCCTCACAGGTCCTAGTCCCCGAGACCCCAGGACTCAGGAGGTCAGTGCAGGCAGAAATTCTGGGAGGAGGAGAGATGTGCTCAGTCCCAGATCAGACCCCAGTGCTCAGGGACCCAGATCTGGCCTGGAGCTTCTACGTGTGCATGGGGCGACATGCCCTCACAGGGAACTCTCTTCCAGGGCTGTGTCGGGGCCCATGGAACCAGGTACAGGTGGGTGAGTCCTCTCCTACACCACCTGCTTCAGCCCAGTGAATCCCTCTGAGCAGCTTGGGGGAGGTCAGAGGGTCTGGGCTGAGGTCACCACTGTGGGAGGAGTCTTGAGTGACATTTGGGGATGCTGAAGGAAAAGAGTCCCCTGACACTTCAGGTCTGATTCTTTCCAGGAGCCCTCCCAAAACCCTTCATCTGGGCTGACCGCTCCATGGTCACTGCGGGGAGCACTGTGACCATCGGGTGTCAGGGATCTGTGCAGGCTGATGTCTACCATCTGTATAAAGACAGAGGCTCTAAACCCTTCGATACAAAGGCCCCACAGGACTCCAGCAACAAGGCCAATTTCTCCATTGACTCTGTGAGCTCACACAATGCAGGGCTATTTCAGTGTGCATATCACACACGCAGCAAGGGCTCGTCAGAGCACAGTGACCCCCTGCCCCTGGTGGTGACAGGTAAGGGGGAGGAGCTTGTCCCCTCCCACTGTGGGCTGCTCCTCACAGGCAGAAGGGAATGGAGTGGGGACTCAGGGGACCTCAGCTCTCACAGTCCACAGCTGGGGTATGTGGGCTGATGGTCCCCCTTTAAACTAGCTCCCTCCTTCTCCCTCAGGAGTGCTCAATGCACCCTCCCTCTCAGCCCACCCAGGCCCTGTGGTGGTGTCAGGAATGAATGTGTCCCTCTCCTGTAGCTCACAGTTCACAAGGGGCATGTTCCATCTGCTGAAGGAGGCAGGAGCTGACCTGTCAAGACACATGGAATCAAGGATCTATCAATGGAGGTGGCGGGCTGTCTTCCTTGTGGGCCCCGTGAACACCTCCCATGGAGGGACCTACAGGTGCTATGGTTCTCACAGCTCCTACCCCTATGTGTGGTCACACCCCAGCGACCCTCTGCATCTCGAGGTCACAGGTGAGGGAACCGCCAACACTTCTCTTTCCTAGGACACAAAAATGACTTACATATGTGCCCAGTGGAGCCCTGAGGGTGGTGGGAAGTTGGTGACTTGGGCTGCTGGGGCCTGAACCACAAAGCAGGAGGCTTGAGGAGGGACCAATGGGAACTCTCACTGCAGGCCCAGTGGGCAATGTGAGGTGTGCGTCCTCTTCAATGTCACTGTCCCTTCTCTCCAGGTGTGTACAGGGAGCCCTCCCTCTCAGCCCAGCCGGGCTTCCTGGTGCTGTCTGGAGACAACCTGACCCTCCAGTGTCACTCAGAGGCCGGCTTTGACAGATTTGCTCTAACCAAGGACGAGGGGCTCACACACCCCCAGCGTCTTCAGGGTCAGCACAGCCCTGACTTCCCCCTGGGCCATGTGAACTACACCCACGGGGGCCAGTACAGATGCTACAGTGGACACAACCTCTCCTATGCATGGTCAGCCCCCAGTGCCCCCCTGGACATCCTGATTGCGGGTGAGGCGCCCTTGCCCTGCCCCATGTCCTGATTGTCAGCTCAGTGCCCTGGGCCCAGGGTCACCCCTGCTGGTGATGGGGTCCAGGGAGACAATCCTGGAGCAGAGGCTGAGATGGGGCAGTGGTCTAGGGAGAGGATTGAGAACGGGAGAGTGAGGGGCAAGGAGATAAAAGAGACCCACCCAGAGTGACTAAGAGGAGCTGAGAGGGGGTCACAGACAGAGTCCCTGGAGAGAGGACCATGGTTCCCCAGCTCAGGGTCAAGGGCGTGTGGTGAGGGGGCAGCTCTCTACACATCACAACCTTCCTCTCCCCCAGGAATGTACGAGAAACCCTCCCTCTCAGCCCAGCCGGGGCCCTCAGTGTCCTGGGGAGAGTACATGACCCTGCAGTGTTGCTCTGAGATCCACTTGGATACCTTCCATCTGTCCAAGGAGGGGTCACTTGATCCTCCCCAGCACCTTCATCTGCAGGACATGCCTGCACCATTTCAGGCCAACTTCACCATCAGTCCCGTGATCTCAGACCACGAGGGGACCTACAGGTGCTATGGTTCAGACAGCACCTACCCCTACTTGTTGTCACTCCCCAGTGACCCCTTGGAGCTCCTGGTCTCAGGTGAGCAGCCCTAGCGCTGTTCCCTCTGTCCCTATGATCTACTTGGGGCCCTGTCCTCAAGCAACGTCTTGGCTGAGAATGGAGATAGGGGGCCAGAAGGAGGGTCACCCAGAAGAGGATAAGCCCCTCAGAGTCTTTCCTACTGATACCCCCCAGCCCCCACAAGTGGATCTAGAATGTGCTAGCTAGGGAGAAGGACAGTCTTGCAGGGGCCACAGGGCAGATGTAGGAGAATGTTTGAGTGAGGTGGGTACTTCAGGGTCAGCCCAGCCCTTCACCTACAGGGCCCATCTCAACAACTGGAGATTCACTGAGGACCCTTTGCTCAGAGCGACCACAGACCACCCAGGGCATTCTGACAGTCTCTCTGAGGATATAATGCCCCATCAGATACTCAAAGACAAGCTTGTCTCCTAGGGAACTGATAATTGGCAGGGATCTAGGCGGGGACCACAGGACTCTAGGGGCTCTAGGCTGGGCAGACGATGTGTGGGGCGATCATGGCAGAGGGAGATGTTAGACCAGCCTTGGAGAGGGGCAGCCGGGCTGATGACGGGAGAAGAGCAGCCGCCCCTCACTTCTCCCACCTTTGGTTTATGATATATGGGGTGTGATCCACTGGGGAGTCTCAGTGCTCCCTGAGGTGGTGATTTTGGACAGGTCCTTGATTCCAGAGCTCCTGGTCTCAGGTGGGGAACCCCTGTCCCTGTCCTCTCTGAGCTCAGGTCTTCTCTGGGCCCCGTCCACAGGAAAGTCTCAGAAACAGTGGAATAATTGGAGCACAAGGGATGGTCCACAGAGGAAATCCAGCCCATGAGAGGGTGGAAATAGGTGGGAACCTCCCACCCCTGGGACACCCCATCCCTGTAGTCTCAGGCAGGGCTGAGGGTGGGAGAGGGATGGAATGAGTCAGTGAAACTAAGAGGAAATGAGATTAGACTGAAGTTACAAGTCAGAGGCCCCACAGACTGACTTCCTGGTTTCTCCATCTGAGAACCACAGCATCGCTACTGATCAGGAGCTAGGAGCAGGGGGAGATCCCACAGAGGTGCTCAGTCTAGGAATCAGGGTGGCAGGGACCCCCTGAGTAGGTGGGGCTGGGGCAGTGTGGGCTCAGTTCTCCTGGGAGGGTGAACTTCTGAGAAAGCCTTTCCTCATCTGAACAAGGGGAAGCTACATGGCCATGCCTTCCAGAGCCCCTTTCATTTCTGACCTTCTGGGGCATCTGGGAAGTGGTTCATCATAGACCTTCTCCTAGTCCAGCCCTCTCTGGGCTTGTCCTGCTGCTCCCAGTAACTCTGACCTTGTCAGGATTAAAAAGCTGAGGGAGACAGGGGGCCGGTGCATGTGATTTTTATCCATCAGTCCTGGAGTCTCAGCTTAGCAAGAGAAGCCACAGTATTGTGGAGAACACAAAGATTTGGAAACCCTATTGATTTAGCACCTCAACTCTCCTGGTCCACACAAAAACTGTGGGATTTTCTACTAAAAGCTACTCCCCCTTGTCAGATCACCTTGGTCCCAGGCCCCTGACCAGTTTTGGAGGATGTGTGGAGTAGAAGGAGAGGGACGGGGTTGCAGCATTTGGTGTCCAGGTCTGAGCTGGAATCCAAGGAAGATGTTGGACTGATGGAGGAGGACAGGCTAGAAGAGTTGGAGAGAGAACAGACAGACACTCCCTTGGCAGCTCCTAATTCTCATTTCCAAGAAATCTTTAGATGCAGCGCCTCACACACACGTGCGAGTCCCTTAGTCCTCTCAGAACAGGCTAGGAGGCTGCTCAAGCCTGAGTTGGATTTGCTGTGGATGCAGGTGGAGCCCACACCAGACACTCTCTTATAGAGAGAAGCACCCGCCCGTGGGTACTGCTCTCCACAGCCCTCCTGTGCTCACCTGGAGGCCTCCAGCCACTCAGTGCACACCTGAGACTAAGGAGGGCCTGTGCACGGCTCACTGGGGTCACTTAGGGGATCACTGCACCGCCCATCTGTGTGCAGCTCACGTCTACTCTGAATTTTCTGTGCACACCTCTCTGCTATTCCTCTCTTTCACTGAGAACTTTAATAGCAAAACTTGCATATATAAATTTGCAAATTTAACTTATAAACATTTATGACTTAAAAATAGGCAATTCTATTCCTATTTTCATTGGGATTAGATTAAATTTATACATTCATTACGGAGAGTAACTTTTTATTATTGGGAAGTTTTCCTTCAAAAGATGCTTAAAAGGAGGGTTTATTTATGACTTCAGATGCATTTTGAAGTTTTATGCATAAAATTGTCTAAACTCACAGCTTAAGATTTGTTCAACTGCTTTATTAATTGATAAGTAAGATCTTTGATTTTTTATAATTTATAAATATTTAAATATAGATAACAATGATATTGGCTTGGTTATATTAATTTTATGTCCCATTAACTTACGAAAGATTCTCCACCACTCAATTGTTTTTCAATTAATCTCCTCCGATTTACTGACAATAATTTAATTAAGCTCAAGGAAATTGAAATTTCACTTGTTTCCAGATTGTGCACCAATTTTATTTGTATCATATAGTATATGAAAATGCAGACAATGTAAAATGTTAAGATATACCTGAGTGTCACTTTCAGATAATATCTTCATTTTTAATCCAAATTGTTTTAAGGCAAACACATCAAAAGCCTATATTTTTTGTATGTATAACACTATTGACCTATCCATCAGTCCATTTTTCTGTTACATTCAGCTTTTATTAGGAAAAAAATATTATTTTATTTATAGAAATTAGGATTTTTTTCTGGACTTTTTTACATCTCCTGAATTCTTTCTCTTTAATTTTAGCCATGGTGAGATACATTTAAAAGACTTATTAGTAACAAACATCTGGATATTAACCCCACTGAGTGACATCTACTATTATTTCGTACTTTTCGACCAGTAGAAGCTTATTTAGAATTTTTACATTGAGATGAATAATTAGAATTGATCTATAACTTGCTTTTTCCTTTTTTTATGTTAAAACTGGTTAAAATAGATTTGAAGAGTTACCTATTTTTTGTGCTCACCCAATACATAAAACCACTGATTTTCCTATTCCTTAACAACTTGAAGGCTAACAATGTGGATTTTCTTGGTTTGGGATATCTGAAATGGAGAGGGTAGAGATTATCTACTTTTTTTTCTTTCATGTAGTGTTTACTGAGTGCCATTAACTTCTACATGATTTTAATATCAAAGAAGCTGAGAATTTCACACATTCTTATAACTCATTTTCTTATCCAGTATTTTAGCATGAAAAAGTTCATATATAAAATCGAATGACTATCTTCTCTGCTTGGAATCTTATACCACTTCCCAGAGTTATTTCAGACAGAGAGAGAGAGAGATGATGATGATGGTGATGATGATGATGATCATCATGATGATGACAGTTATGGAAACTCCCTCATCTGTCCTGTCATTTCTACCTTGTCTCAAATGCACCAACACCCCAAATCTCAGCGCCCCCTTCTCCTCTGGACCAGGCTATATCTCACAGACATGACTTTATTCTTTATTGAAGAACAGTCAGAGGTCTTTCTGGGGACCTGCTCCTCCTGCAGCCTGTGATGTGCTTCATCTGGGTCTTCAAGTGGCTCCTCTCAGGCTCCTTCTCCTATTCAGGAATCAGTTTAAGCATAATCTCCAAGTGTGACCTTCATGGTGATACTGTATAGATCAGACCTACCTCCCCGTTACATAATTTATTTCTTGTAATTAACACAACTGGCGCTGTATGTTTGTATGGATTGAATTTTCTCTCTTTTCTCATGTGTATATGACCCACCTCTCATCCATGGATCCCCAGTCTTCAGTCGTTGAGTAAATGTAAGCACTCATATCTGGAAGAGTTAGCCTACATGGTCAATAACCCAGAGTGAACAGAGAGCATACAAGAATTCAATTATTTCTGTATTGAGAGACCAGGTTTATCAACAATCCTGAGCTCTGGGGGCACATCCAAACTCTGTTCCAAAGAAGTTCAAAAGCAAAGTCTAAATTCAAAAAACCACATGAAGACTGAGAGAATCCAATGAGAACAGAGGGAATCCTTCTACAACAGAGAAAGGATTCTTTAAGAGACTGCATCATATTTATTTCATGAGAAACAGAGGGAATTATAAGACCACAGAGCCCAGGGGAAAGGCTTGAGTCATATCAACTCCTCAACCATCCTCACTATTTTGTGTTTCTCAGAAGCAGCTGACACCATCAGCCCATCACTATACAAGTCAGACTCCAAGAGTAGCAAGCAGGAGAAATTCTCAGTTATGGGGCTGGTGCAGAGGGTCACGTCCTCCACAGGGGAGGCAGGTGACCTGGGTGGACATCTAGGGATCCTGGGGTGATTTTGCTCTGCCCTCACCTCTGTGACCTCTTTCTCCACAATTCCTAGGCTCACATCCTCAAGACTACACAGTGGAGAATCTCATCCGGATGGGGGTGGCTGCCGTAATCCTGGTGGTCCTCGGGATTCTGCTCTTTCAGGCTCGGCACAGCCTGAGAAGACCCCAGGATGCAGCCAGGAGGTAGACACAAAAGAGAACAAGGCACTGTTCAGAGAGGTAGAGGCTTGTAAATAAATCTTGTGTGCCCAGGAGGTTCTGGAAGAACATCCGGGGCATATGTAGTGTGAACTGTCTACAGGTCATTGCAAGGTGGAGGAATCATTGTCCATGTGCAGAGACAATGTTTGGACTCTTCTGCCAATAAACTGTGGAACATTCCCTCCCAACCACTGCTGAGTTGTCTTGACTGGCTCCTATCTTTCCCCTTCTCTGTGAAATCAGCACGTATCCCACATGGCGGATTTGGGTCCTCACCTCCTCACACTTTCATGCTCTGGTACATTTTCATGCAATTCCTTTTTCCTTTATTTCTAATTTCCACATTCCTTGATGTGTATTAAGGAGTCTCTATTTCTTCTTTCGGAGCGTGAAATCTACTTTAATAAATCAATAAATTATAATAACAAAGATCCAGCCTGAAAGAGGTAAATCCAAAATGATTTCCTAACACCCTCTCTGGACTCCACAAGCCCTTCGCTTTTCATCAGATGCTACCTGTGTAGTTTCTTCAGAAATATCATCACTTGGAATCAAGACATTGCTGTTTGACATAGCACAGTTCTTACTGCTCCTGAAAAACCCATTGTTAAAAACACTGATTCAAGGCATTTTCCAGTTTCTCTGGTGTATATATTCCCTTCACGGCCAACTTCAAGGTGCCAATGTGAGAATGACATGGAGTAAATTTTCATAAACTTAGACTTGACAATAGTTTTCAGTTATGACACTAAAAGCACAAACTGGAAAAGAAAAAAAATACAAGAATTGAACTTCATCAAATTTAAAATATATGTTCGTTAAAAACGATGATTATGGGGCTGGCCCTGTGGTGTAGCAGTTAAGTGCGCATGCTCCACTACTGGCGGCCCGGGTTTGGATCCCGGGTGCGCACCGACACACCGCTTCTCTGGCCACGCTGAGGCCACGTCCCACATACAGCAACTAGAAGGATGTGCAACTATGACGTACAACTATCTACTGGGACTTTGGGGAGAAAAAGGGGAAAAAATGAGGAGGATTGGCAATAGATGTTAGCTCACAGCCGGTCTTCCTCAGCAATGGGAGGAGAATTGGCATGGATGTTAGCTCAGGTCTGATCTTCCTCACAAAAAAAAAAAAAAAGATGATTTAGAGTGTAAAAGCCAAATTCCAAAAGTGGAAAAAATTTGCAAATCACGCATCTTATTAGAGTCTAGTATCCACTATGTAAAAAGAATACGTTTCTCAACAACTAAAAACAATCCTATTTAAAAAAAAATAGTCCAATGGCTTGAACAGACATTTCTAAAAAAAGATACACAGGTGGACAGCAAGCATATGAAATATGATCAACTCACTAGTTATTACGGAATTGAAAATAAAACCACAATGAAATATTACTTCAAACCCATTGGATTGGCCATAATTTGAAAAAAAAAAAGTGTTGATAAGGATGTGGAGAAATCTGAACCCACATACACTGCAGGTGGGAATGTAAAATGATTAAGCCATGTGGAAAACAGTTCAGCAGTTCTTCAAAAATTAAACCCAGAATTACCATACGATCTAGAAAATCTCCTTCCAGGTTTGTTTCACTTATGCAAGACTAATAAATTATAGAGATCTGTCATACAACTATGTGCCTATAGTTAACAATACGGTAGCATGCACGAAAATTTGTAAAGAGGGTAGATCTCACGTTAAGTTCTCTTACCACAGTAAGAAAAGAAAAGAAAAATAATTGCTCACAGATATTTGAACACTTATGAAAGTGTGTTCATAGAAGAACTGTTCACAATTGACAAAAAGTGACAACAACCCAAATGCCCATCAACTGATTATGGAAAAACAACAACAATTAAAACCTCTGAATGTCTCCAACTAGTACATTTGCCAAAAGCAGGGAGATGCAATCCACAGTCTCAGATGAAGAGTTATTGTCTGGAGGACAAGAGGTGGTGAGGGGGCAGAAATGCCTCAGACATTTTGATGGATAGTGGTGAAGAGAAGGTGCTGCTGCTTATGGAAACAAGAAAGTCAGAGAGAGGAAGTGCTTGGGAGAAACAAAACCACATACCCAGGCCAGGAGGGAGGTGGTGGTTCCTCTGTGAGTCAGTTGACAGTATTATAAACATCTCCCCAGGCCTTCTTCTCCTCTTGGGTTCACCCATCCTGTGTTAGCCCCATTGGTTCCTCTAGCCAACCAAGACAGAGAAAGGAAGAGCCCTCAATTCTTCACTCTCTTGCAGATCACTTATAATGAACAAATTCAACAGTTCTGCCACTGATCCCTTTTATCCATGACCCTAGACCACCACCAGGGCCAAGTTCAATAAAAGACTCAAGACATCTTGGTGGGACCCCATCAGCCTCCTTCCTGCTGCATACCTTGGGCTTTCACTACCTGATAAGGTGTTTTATTGTTATGGCCCCAAACTTTTCTGTCAATGACACTGCAGAAAGCCCTTCCAAAGGTCTCCTCCTTCCTTCAAGAAAATTCCAACCATCTCCACATGACAATCCATGAGGTTGATGATCGGGCTGAGCTAAACTCTCCAGCCCCAGCAAATCCACATGAGAGGCAAATGAAAAAAAATCCACTGGGGGATATAATAGAGCTCACTTACAATTCCAATACATTAGTGGTTTGAGTAAAAGTTATTTCAACCAATTTGGGGAATATATTGGAATTATCTAGCAAAAAGAAGAGACATTGAGCAACAAAAATAAAGCATATACCCTAGAGGGAAATGTGTATGTAAACACAAGGTTACATTCTAAAGAGCATTGATAGGAGAGGGTCTTATTTAGAAAACATCCATAAATTAAAAAAAGAAAGATGGGTGGCATATCTCCATCATGGAATATCATATGACACTGCAAATGCACAGATTAAATCTACAACGAGCAATCTTCAAAAATGGTGATGAATAAATGAAAAATTTTTAAAAAGAGGCATGCAGGGACATTTCATTACATAAAGTTCAGAAAGAGACATCATTTGTCATTTACATAGGCACACATAAGACAAACTCAATAAATAAAGGAAGGGAAAGAACCCCATGTAATCCGTCTAGTGGTTAAATGTAATGCAACATTGAAAGGTTTATTCAAAATGGAAAACACAGGGGCTGCTGGAAAGCAGGTGGTGTTCTTCTTGACCTTCATCTGGTGACTCATGAATCCAGTTGTCATACTGGTAAACAGTGCATTTCTGTTTTGTAACCTATCTTTATTTTCCATACAATTGAGTGAACTGGGACTGAAGTAAGGGCTGAAATCCACAGCCTGCACTAGGCATTGAACTTCCAAAAAAGTAGCTATTGATGTGTTAGATAGCAAGTATGTCACATCTTGGCAATGTGGTTGCCTCAAAGCCATGACCACCGCCTGCCTGAGTAGTCTCACAAAGTCCAGTCAAACTATGGGTCCCTGTCTGGGAGAGAAACTATGCCTCAGAAGAGAAAAGACCTTGCCCAGTACCACTTGACATGCAACTGAAAAATTTAAATGGACATTAAAATTTCTCATTCCACTTTGTTCAAACAAGCTGAACAGGGATGTGTTACCGAACCCAAACATAGGTTCGTTTACCTACTGCATAGTAGGGCCAATAAAGAGACAACTGAAACACCAGGCTTGTGGTAAGGAAAGAGGTTTACCATTATTGAAAGACAGCCAGGTGAGGAGATGGGAGTTAGAACTCAGATCCACCTGCCAGAAGGGAAAAAGGTAGGGGTTTTTATCTGGGATTTTAGGCAGCAGAATGATAGCATGTGCTGGGGTTTTAGGTAGAGGAGGGAGAGCATGTGCTGGGGTTTTAGGTAGGGGAGGGGAAGCGTGTACTGGAGTTTTAGGTAGGGGTGGGGGAGTATGTTCTGGGGTTTTAGGTAGGGGAGGGGGAGTATGTGCTGGGGTTTCAGGTGGGGGCGGGGGAGCATGTGGCCTTGTTGGTTGGCACCTGTCTGCCAGTCTGCATTTGGCCTTGAAGTCTGAGTTTCTTTTTCCTTGACTGTCTGGACTTTTCTGGTTAGTTTTCAGCTTCAGCCTGAGCTTGGCCTTGGGAGGCTGCATGCTGATGTCTGGATTTTGACTAGCTGCAAAAGACAGCTCACTCATATACTAAGGATGGACAGAAAGATCTGGTTAGTTTTAAACAACAGTTGATTATGCTGAATAATTATGCTGCACAGCTGCAGTTAGCAAAGCTCATCTCAAAGTATTTCTTCTCTTTTTCTAGCCCAGGGAAGATTTTTTAACCTCTGTGTGTTTGGTTTCAATCCCCACTGTCTTATGATCATTCTGCAATCTTGGGGAATGGGGTCAAAGACCACTCTAACTGCTTCCTTCTGTAAAAGGGTGCAGATCAGGATCAGAGGAATGAAAATGTTTTATCTTTATTTTAAAGTATTTTTGGATACCGGGTGGAGAGAGCAAGATATGTTTTGCATCACCAATAATTTAGTACTCTGATGAATGGCTTTGGAATAACATTTAATTTCACATTTTAAAATTATATGGATGACTACACATATTAGCAAAATAGACAGCCCAAATTTTAGTATCCCCTCCATAAAGGATCTCAATCTTTGGGAAATCCAGTAGAAGAGGCCTGTAAACCAATCAAGGTTAGTGTGTAGAACCTCAGGTGAAATCTGATGTAGCCAAGTAGCCTCCTGTCTAATAGTCCAACAAGTAAGGTAAGAATCTGGGAGTCATTTATTACTTATCTTTTGAAGGCCATTTTCTGAACAACAACTTGCAGTCTATCAGGGATTCCCTCGACCATTAGGAAAAGACAGTGTCTAGAGTGTGAAGTCACTCAAGGTTTGGGTGATCCCAGTTGTGATGTTTTTCTATGGCATGGTTCATATTTCCTGTTTTTTGTATGGTCCCATCCAGCAGAGATGAAGTTTAGGATTTCAATATGACCCAGTCTCTATGACAAAAATAGTGCAGAGAAACATCTGACAGTGCCTAGTTCCTTAGTTCATGTTTCCTCCGGGTCTTTTGGATCATCTCCAGAACATAGAAAGGTCCCAAAGTTAGTCCTACATTGTGTAAGCAGGTAACCAGATATTTAATAAGAAGCATTTCTAGAAAAACAAAAAGAAAAACAAGGTTAATGATTAGAAAAAATTATAAACCAATTTCTGAGCTCAGGGGATGGGCAGTCAA